GACACGCAGCCAGCCAGCGCGCCCTTCACCCTGCGCAGAAATACAGCCTTACAGCTGGGCTTTAATCCGCATTCTGCTACTCATGTGCTGCACCTCTTTGGAGAAGACGATGTTAAAAGGCGCCTGTGCCGTGGGGGCATCACTTTTTCTTGTGCTTGAGGGCATGAGGGCTTTTAATGCCATTGATACCCCTGAAAAGCTGCTCCTGCAGTTCGGTGACACGCTCGGTGTGGTGCCGTAGCACTTGCCCACGCCCAGCAGAGCGTGGTGAGTACGAGTTCATCCAATTTGGCAAAGGGCATTGAAGTCATTGGACGGAGATGCTCTAGCGAAGCCAAACTAATATTTCATCTTTCTGTTAATGCTGATTGCTGTCTAACTGGTAATAATTTTTCTCACCTCTTTTAGCAAAGAATATCCAGTCATTTCCAAAAGCATCATGAGGCAGAGGTTGGTGTCCAGTCACGGCCAGCTTTCAACAAAGCCGGATGTTAACCCACTTCACGGGAATCACCAGACCCTTCAACATTATCAGTATGAGAACGGTGCTCACATGCAATTTGCAGCTTCAGATACTCAAGATCTGCCACTCAACACCTTCACAGCACAGAGAGATTCAGGGCTCTTCTATCATTGCCTAAAAAGAAGAGGTAACTCGAGTTTACAGCTAGAGAAATATTACGGCAAACAAACCTAAGAGCATGAGCACTGAAAGCGTACCGCTAATTCCAGTTCAGTTTTGGGTCGGTCTCTTAGGCCTTGATCTTCAAATGCTGATGTGGTCAAAGTGTTTTGGAGGGTCAGGGCCCCAGAGCTGGGTTTTGGGGCAGTTATTAGTGGTTTTGTCCCATAGAAGGCAAATTCAGGCTCTGAGTCAGAGCTGAAAAAAAACCAATCAGAATGCATAATTAAAACGGCATGAAGCGACGCTGGAAAATTATCCATTGTTCAAATCAGCCGAACAAATAATTGTTTGGAGGAGGCCTTATCTGTCCTGAGGTGTTCCCAGACTGCCGTTAGCATTAATGTAATTACACAAATTCAGCACTTTTCCAGGATGAAAGCATTAGCAATTTTCTCCATGTCTGCAAATTAGTGGGACTGTGGTAGCTGCATGTAAGCATCCCTTTCTTCTAATCCACTCGTTCTCAAGTTTAAGTGAGCTCTAACTACATTCTCTTCCTTTTAGTCCAGCATCAGATGAGATCATGGCATGTTTTAAGTTAAACGGAAAAATTCTGCACAGAAAAAATGCCTTCTATTTGCATGTCTCATTGGCCGCTAATTTATTTAAGCTGTGAGAATGCTCTGATCGTGGGCAAATGAAGAATCTAACAGCACCACTAATGAGGACTGCAAGGCAAATGTGTAATTTTAGCAGATGTTTAATCGGCGGATGAATTCACTAATTCAGCCAGAGAATATTCCTAACAACTAACAGAGAGCCGCCGGTAAACACAGCCACGGTCATCGTGATCTGTGGGAGAGGGGCTACAGCTTCTCAGCGTAAAGCTGAGGGGAAGGGCTGATGACTGGGAAAGGGCTGCTTTATCTGGAAATATTTCTGCAGCTTTTGACATGAATATCTGGGAAATGTATAGTCATTTTTGTAATGACAGGAAGGCAGGCTGCGATAAGACCCTTTAAGAGACTTCTTGAGTTTGTCAGGAGGAACACTGCAAGAGTGGCAGGGACCTCTGTTATCTGGATGAACGTGAAGTAATCTCTGATGTGAGAATAGTAGCCCAAGTCACTCACTTAACCTGATAAATGTCACCCGAATGCTTTGAGGCTGAGGGGATTAGCCTGACATTTGCAACACAATGTCTTTTTGATGCCGTACGTTTTCTTTCCAAACTAAAATGGTTTAACCGGATTAATCTGAAAAAGAGCACCGGTTGTTTAGCGAAATAATCACCGATTGCGTGCTCGGCTTCTAAGGGGACTCCATAAAACCAGCCCAGGCTCTCAGCAGATTGCTGTTAAACGCTGTCGCTCTGGGAGCTGCTCCTGAACATGGATTTTTTTTTGTTTGTTTGTTTGCAGAAAGTGCTCGGCACCTGGACCTGCCCTGCAAACGCTCCTACCTGGAAGCCTCCTCTTCTGTAGGAGACGATCACTATTTCCGTTCCCCGCCTCCGTACGATCAGCAGATGTTAAGCCCTTCCTATTGCAGCGAGGTGACTCCGAGGGAAGCGTGCATGTACTCTAGTTCTGGGGCTGAAATCGCTGGTGTCTCGGCGGTTGACGACTTGCCACCTCCACCTCCCCCCTTGAGCTGCAATATGTGGACTTCTGTCGCACCTTACACCAGCTACAGTGTTCAGACAATGGAAACTGTCCCTTACCAGCCTTTCCCTGCTCATTTTACTGCCACCACCATGATGCCGCGGCTCCCGTCCATCACGGGTCAAGGCTCGCAGCCACCAGGTAACAGCCACTTCAGTGTCTACAACCAGCTGTCCCAGTCTCAGGTTCGGGAGCGCGTTCCTTCTTCATCTTTCCCCAGGGAAAGGGTGCACCCGTCTGTGTGCGAGAGAAAACCCCCCTCTCCGCACCTAAACGCGGCGAACGAATTCCTGTACTCACAAAGCTTTTCCTTGTCGAGGGAGTCGTCGCTGCAGTATCATTCAGGGATGGGGACTGTGGAGAACTGGACTGACGGATGACTCCGACGGCCAAGCGATGCCACAGCCAACGTTACTGCTCCGGGACAGTGTTCAATCAGTGTTGATACCTGTGGGTAACTTGCACTTCGGTGAGACAAATGTGCATTTCCAGAGGGATTTGTGTGGGTGAAGAGCTTGTATCTTCAGGCACACAGAGAATTAACATCTCCAGTCTCGGTGGGCTGGATTCATCAGTCTCATACTGACTCCCGGGTAAATTAATTCCCGCGTCTTCATTACTGATCCAGTAGAAACCATCTTCATGACTAACCAGTGAAGTAGCTAGTCATTTTCTTTTGCTTGTAATATTAAACATCCATGAGCAAATTTTGGCTATTTGGGAAAAATAGGAGCTTCGCTTTTATGGTACTTGGTTCGTGAAGTCACAGCATCCCAAAACTCAAGGGAAAAAGCAATCTGTTCAGTTGTGTAGTTCAAGGACTGCGGTAGCAGCACATCTTTAGCTCTTTTTTTATCTGTAGAAATTTCTTCTTCCTCTGGAAGTGATGGAGCCGTAGGAGCGCAGGGGCCAGCGGGGAGGCTCGGCCGTGGGGTCAGGGAGCTGCGGTGCCGCTCCGGTACCTCCCCGGCACAGCACAGGGTTCGTGCCATGGCACGGAGAGGAGAAGGCACCGATGCACAAATGTCTCTTCTTCCCCCCACAACACCATCGTTCGTGGCTGTGGGAAACTAAGAAGTGAAGCATTATGCCTGAGGCCAAACAGCAAATTAACTGCAGCGTTAGGAACAGACCCAGTGTCTTCAGACTCCCATCCGTTGGTTGAATCACACTTGCTTATTGCAATATATTTATGAAGTTTAAGCTTAAAAGTCGCTAATACTTTCCAGAAACGATTTCTGTATTTGCTGGTCCTTGATTTCTTTCATATTCAGCTGAAACGCGCCTTTTGTGCTATGTTTTTTTCTTTTGCAGCTAAGTCGGAAAAAATTGTTTTCAGCATAAAGGAGGCATAGAGGAATATTTTCTTAATTGTGGGGTGGGGTGGGAAGAGTTCCCCTTACCTGTCAGGCTTTACAGTGTACAAATATTTGTAGAACAGGTAAAAAATCTGTAACCAGTGTATACATTGCTACTATTGTTTACTGTGGAAGTATCTTGAACTGACTCCGTCGGCGCTGGCTTTGCCTACCAGAGGGTCCCTAGGAGGTAAGGAGGGCTCGCTCAGCGACAGCCACGGCGCGAAGCGGCCTCGCCTGGGAAAGCAAGCTGCGCTCTTGCTGGAACGAAACTCCCATCGCCTTCACCCAAAAAGCTCCTACGCAGGGATGCGTCCCCCTCCGGTCTGCAGCGCGTCCGTGCTGCTCAGCTCCCAGGCGACGCTGTCCCAAGGGATGGCAACACAGGGGCGAGGCTGGGAGTTTGGTTCCACCGAAGAGCGCAATATTTAAGCTCTAGTCATGCACAGCGGGGTTTTCTTTTTCCCCCCGCTTGCTTCCCAAATAGGCAAAGGCAAAAAGCTGAAATACAAATGGAGAAGTTGGGAGGTACTTCTGTGTTTCGATGAAGCCGTTCCAACGAAGAGAGGCTGATGGATGAGGGCGGCTGCTTGCAATGAGACAACCCTGGGGCCACTAACGTGGAGGTCACGTTTCAACCAGGACAACCGCATCCACCCATTCAGCAGACTATGTGTGTGACTGGTGTGGATTTTGTAATCAGATGTTGGAAATCACTACAATTTTTGCATGCTGAATAGCTATTTATATACATATATATT